GGTGAGGGAGAGAGGGAATCCCAAACAGACTCCCTGCTGAGCACAGAGCCAGATGTGGGGCTCGGTCCCTGGATTCTGGCATCATGACCTGAGCTGCAAATCAAGAGTCAGCCTCTTAACGCTGACTGAGACACCCAGGTGTCCCCTGACTTGTATTTTTAAAGAAGAGCTTAGGCAGCTGGGGCAATGATAGGATGTAGAGGGCAGGGGTGAAACCAGGACACCAGGCAGGAGCTGATGGCAGCAATCCAGGCTGGAGATGATGGTGGCTCAGAACAAGAAGGGTGGCCATAAAGAGGGCAAAGTGGTCAGATTCTAGATATATTATGAGGGCAAGGTCAACAAGATTCTGGATAGATTGGATATGAGTTATGAGAGAGGGTCAATGATGATTCCGAGGTCAACCTCAGCAGGATGGATTTGCCTTCAACAAAAGAGGTTTGGGTGGGGGCCACAAGGAGTTTGGCTCTGGACACGTTGCATCACACTTCAATGAAGGTCTTCTTTTCAAAAGCTAGTCTCATTTTGCCTGGTTCATCCTTATGTTTTCTGTCTTCCCTGGCCACATAAAGATGGAATTCCTCTAGGCTTATGACCCTGCATTGGATTTCTACCACTTCTCCGGCCCCATATTTGTATCAGATTTCTCTTTAGGCTCATTCTTCCAACCACGCTCGTCTCTCTTCAGCTCCTTGAACACAGATGCTCTTTCTAATCTCCAGCACAAGCTGATTCCCCTGCCTGGAGTACCGAGTACTCTCCACTTCTACTGCCCCCATTCTCCATCCCATTTAAATCCTGCTCAAGCTTCAGATCTCAGCTTCTGCTTCTTTACTTAAAGGAAACCTGCAGGTCTCCCCCTGTGTCATGTCCTAATGCACTACATTTGTTTCCTGTAATTATGTAATTGTATGATTATTAGATTCATGGCCTTCCCACTAGACTGTAAACTCCCAGGGGACTGGATTTACATCTGTTTTACTCACCATGGTACCTCCAGTGCCTCACACAGTATCTGGCATATAGTAACTATTTAGTAAATGTCTGCTGAATGAATGAATGATGGATTATTACCCATCCCCCCCAAAATATTATCCTATACATTTACTCTCTTGCAGAGTCTTTGTATAATTCTAGCATAAGGAGTACTAAACTAGGAAGAAACACAAAGGAAGTAACACATTATCATTTATAATCATCCAGGGTTTAGTATGCCCATTCAGGAATCCAAGCCATGATGGATCCCTCCTCTCCTGTAACATATGGCCTTGCTCACCAGACTTCTGGTTCCCCTAAGATTTACATTGTCCAGCCCTTTGAAGACAGGCTGAGTCATGTGATTTGCTTTGGCCATTTAAACTTGAGCAAAAGTGATTGGCATCAACTTGAGGCAGAGGCATTCGAAAGCAGGAGTGCAACCCTCCAGTTCCACCTGCCTGTGTTTGTTTCCCGTGGCTGCTGGAAGAATGCGTCATGCCGGAGTGGCTTAAAACAACAGAAAATCATTCTCTCTGGTTCAGGAGGCTAACAGTCCAAAATCAAGGTGTGAACAAGGCCATGCTTCCTCGGAGGTCTCTAGGGAGAAATCTTCCTTTGACACTTCCGCTTCTGGGCCTTGCTGGCCAATCCATGGCAGTCCTTGTCTTGTGGAAACATGACTCCAATCTCTGCCCCATCTTCACGTGGTGATCTCCTCGTGTGTCTCCTCTGTGTCTTTCTGTCAAGGTCTCCTTTGCCATTCTCTCATAGGGATGCCAGTTATTAGATTTGGGGCCCACCCTAGGCCAGGATGGCCTCATCTTAAATTGATCACATCTGCAAAGACCCTCCTTGCAAACAAGGCCCCACAGCCAGGTACCAAGGGTGAGAACGTAAACATAGCTTTCGGCAGGGATGCAAGGGAACCCGTTCTCCCTGTGCAGCACGTGCCGAGGTGGAGACTTCCTCAGCCTGGTTCCCTGGGTCACTGTAGTGGGACAGGTTTGTGTCTCCCCATTCACCTCCATTCAGTTCCGTGACGCCCCCTGAGTTAGAGTGGTGGGCTGAATCACCTGCCCCGGGTCAAGTATTTATCCCAATGGCTATTTGATGATGACGTTTTGCTGATTCATGCAAATTAAACATGCCTGCGCTGTATATCTATTTCCTGTGACCTGTCTCTGGACTGTCTTCCATACTCTGTATTCCTCTTGATCCTTAGTTACTGAGTGCCTGCCATATGCCTATCCTTGTGCTGTGTGCCAAGAGGGATGTATGGGATATTGGACACAAGGAACCCAATTATAAGGAGTATATAATCTAATCTGGTGGGTGAAAAAAAACCATCAGCGTTGGCTGAAATTATCAGAGGACACCAGATAATAGGACTTAATAAGAGGGAACGCCAACAGGACATCTGGTTCGTTCTAGGTTTTATGGTAAGCAGTTTACAGGTGTTCTATCCTTTCATCCTTGTGGAGGCTGTACCCTGTTGGGCTGGTATTTTGTATCTGTTTTACAGGTGAGGAAACAAGCTTAGAAAGCCTTAAGCAGCTTGCCCAATGGTCATTCAGGATTCAAATCCAGGTTGGTCTGATCAACGAATTTGGGCTCCTATGGACTTGACTGACCCTTCAATTCAGATCAGCCTTGGTAGCCTGCTAGTATATGGTAGTCTATACTCTTGAACTACACCAAGTTTGGTTTTCCTTATACAGTCATCCCTGGGCTGAACTTATCATGTCGCAGTATCAACGGTTTGCAGTAATAAATAGAATAAAATAGTTAAGCTACTCTTCAATTTCGATCTCAGTGTTGTTAAATGGGCCTTTCCACCTGATTTGTCTGAACTAATCCAAACTCAACCTTTCATCTTTCCCTTTATAAGATGGAACTTTCAGACTTTAATTCTCTAAGCTGGCCATGGATGCAAAGATTTGTCATATCAGGAGCCATCATATTTCCTCTACAGCATTAAAAGTGATTAAAAGAAACAACATGATCAAAAGAAACAACATGGAACCAACCAACCCTATTTTTAAGTGTTTCCAACCTTGTTTCAAAACAGTCTTATGACGATTGTTTTCCCAACAGCCATGTATGAAGCCATCCACTTTTGAAATCTGATTTTCCTGTGTAGACACATCCTGTTTTCTATGCTTGGAGAAGCAGGGAATACCCAAGCTGGCACTCAGTTGTAGCAAATATGAAATAGACCATTTTTAAAAAATCGTAGGAATGTTAAAACCCATGTTGACTGGTTTTTACATTTCCCCGGCAGCATTCCCATGCTAGCGTTGGCATGGAGACTGGAAAAGGAAACTTTCCACCAATCTGTCACTTGCTACTGTTTCCACTCACTCTACTGGGAGTCCAATTTTAACAATTTTTTAAAGTTAAAACAAGTTTAATTCTTTTTTTGTTTTGTTTTGTTTCGTTTCAGAATGTTTCTCAAACACAAAAACACAGGCAAAAAGATTTTAAAACTCCGTCAAAAATTTGGTTTTCCAAATATTCAGCTGTTTAACATTCAGATAATTGCCTTCCTTTTTTTTTTTTTTTTCCACATTTAGTCTGAATGCTTTGGCATGGGGAACCCCACAGTCTGAAAGTAACTTTGTCCCGACTCTCCTCACTGCGTTTATTAAAGAGTCTGAAAGACGCATCTGCTTCCCAACAGTTTCTGGTCCCTAAGTGACCAGGGAAAGCCAGAGGTTCTCACCATACAGGAACATAGTTGGGCTTCCCAAAACCTCTGCGCAAGCAAAGTTGGCAGTGGTCACAGCAAGGTATTCTTGAAATCGTTTTCATTGAAGAAAAACGGGCTGTGATTCTTGGATCTATGCTTGGGTCAGAGATGGAAGGCAAATTTGTCACCCGTTCTCTTCTGGGTAGCCTAGAACCCAGTAGGCACTCAAGTCCTGTTTGCGTGAATGAATTCATCACAGTGATGATGTATGGCATCTTCCAAGACTGAAGGGTGATTTTCCTGGGCTGGAAAGTAAAAGAGAGAGCTGCCTACCTACAGTTCAGGGGGCCTCATCCTGGAGGCCCCGAAGCCAGGCGTTCTCATTTCCACTTGGCATCCTCCTGAGCTGCTCTGCCTGACGCTGGCGCTGGCGCGACGTTACAGAAGGGAGGAAATTCATGTGAGGAGAATCAGGGAGGAGAGGGTCGGGAACAGATGTGAGCATAAAGGAAAGCATTAGAAATGAAAGAAAGAAATTGGACGCCCACAGCTGGAAGGACAAACCGCACAGTGTCGTCAGGGATGTGGGATTAGGGGTGATTTTGCTTGCCCTTTGTTCTTTTTTCCTGTCTTCCACATTTCCCCGTGTATTTGATGTGTCTTTTCTGTTCGGTTATTGGACCATGAGGCCAGACCCCAGTGGCCAGTACCTGGCATGCAGCAGGCGCCCTGTGAAGACCTGCTGAACAACTGAACGGGTTCGAAGGCTCCTGTCCCTCCTCCCGCCGCCTCCCCGGGGTGTCTAACCGCCTGGCACGTAGTAGGCGCTCCCTAAACATCTGCACAGCAAATGAGCTGCAAGTTTTCGGCGCCGAGCACGTGGAGCTTTGGAAACCAGGGCAGTGAACGAGCACATCTCAGACCACAAAGCGGCTGCGGCGCGTGCGAGGAGCCGCAGCGGGCGGAGGCGAGAGGCGGGAGGCTAGGCGCTGGGCCCCGAGCAGGGCGCCCCGCGTGGGGCGCTGCCTGCGTGGCGCCCCGGGCGGGGGCGCCGGGAGCCGCGCGCCGGCACGTGCTCGTCCCGGGGACGCCGGGCCGGGGTGGGCGCGCGTGTGCGCGTGGGGGCGTGGGGTGTGTACCCGCGCCGTGCCCCCCGCGCGTGCTGCCGGGCGGGCGCCGGCGTGAGTCACGGCGGGGCTCGCCTTTATAACGGCCCGGAGGCTCGCGCCAGCCGCCCGCCAGTCCGCCCGCCCTCCGCTCCGCGCTCCAGCGAGCGCGCCCCGGCCCCGCGCCCCCAACGGCCCCCCAACCGCCGCGTAGTCCCGAGGACGCCATGAGGGGCCCGCGCTGCGCCCCGCTGCTGCTCCTGCTGCTGCTGTTGCCGCTGCTGCTCATACCCCCCGCCGGGTACGCCGCCGTCATCACCGGGGTAAGCAGCCCCGGGCGCACCTGTCCGCCCGGGATGCGCGCCCGCGCTGCGCCTCGGGGGGCTTGGGAGGGGAGCGGCTCGGGGAGGGTCGCCCCGGGCGGGGACATCTGCCCCAGATGCCCTTTGGCGCTCTGGGAGAGGTGCCCTACTCCAAACGCAGCGGACGGCCCGGGATCTTATGTGCGCTATGGAAGAAAAAGTAACCAAAGTGTCACCCACCTCCTTTATCACCACCTTCTCCCCCTTGCTTCCCTCTTGGAACCCTGCAAGCTCTCTCCTCGAGTTTGGTCTGTTTTTCTGTTAAGCTGAAAGAAGTTTGCTTTCAGAGTCTTCTCTAGCACTTCTTCGAGGCGTTCCAACCTCGAACCGTAAAATTTGGGAGGCCCTTTCTGAAATGCACAGGGTGCAAGACGAGTATCTCCCATTCCTGAGACTTAACCTTCTGGTCAAGGAGTTTGTTCCCCTTGCACTCTCCACAGAAACCCCTTGAAATAACTTGGTCCGAGGCCTTGTGTATGTTTTGAAAAGCAATGTGGGAGCTTCCTTCTGGTTTCTAGAGGGTACCCCCGCCCACCCCCCAGCTTCTTGAGGTTTTCCTTGTAAAATTTTTCCATTTCCAATTCCTGATAAAACACCACCAGGGCTCGGGCATAATTATGGAGTAGGTTACAATGTAGATGTTTGTTTCAACTTAGTGTAGTTGTCCTCATCATTTCTGAAAGTAGGAACTGAGTCAGTTCTCTCCTATTCTCACCAACAGTTTTCTGTGTGGATCTGAAGGATGAGTTTACCGTAGTCTACTTTACATCAACAATGCAAAATCCCTACCTTTTCCTGATTGCTCAACTGCTTTGCTCTTTTAATTTTTTTAAAAGATTTTATTTATTTATTTATTTGGCAGAGAGAGACAACAAGAGAGGAAATACAAGCAGGGAGAGTAAGAGAGGGGGAAGCAGACTCCCAGATGAACAGGGAGCCCAAAGCGGGGCTTGATCCCAGAATCCTGGGATCATGACCTGAGCTGAAGGCAGACACTTAACGATAGAGCCACCCAGGTGCCCCTGCTTTACTCTTTTATCTTTTTTTTTTTAAGTCTTAAATTATTTTACACCTCCATTAAATTACTTAAATTATCTAAGTGCACGTTATGGGATTTTAAATAAAACTTACATGTTTGAATTGATGATACATAATGAAATATTGAAATTTGACGGAAATCTGTCCTGGTCTTGAGAAAATAAAAGTTCCATAGTCTCCCAAGTGAGTTCATAGGTTTATAGCATCTTGAAAGCCCTCGTACAATAACAGTATTTGGTTATATCCAATAGGATTATAAGCATTGTGATATTTATTAAAATAGAGGTTTTTTGAAAGTGTATTTGAATAGCTTTGTCAGTCAGTCAGTGTGGTTGAAAAAAACTTTTTACAGGTCTTTCTAATATAAGAGTTGGAACATGATTGGTTTTTTTCTCCCACTCTTCCCCTGCTGGCTCATTTTAAGTTTCTGCTAATCCTCTGAGCCCAGAATTCCTTTGCAATATAAGTATCTTTTTGTTCCATTCACAGGACAACACTATTTGAATAGATCTGCAATGGGTTAAGTATGAAGGGCATTAGGAAACAGCAGTCTAATTAAAATTATATAAACCTATGCATTTCTTTGTAAATATTTCCAAGAAGTGAAGTTTTTTGTTACAAAAGTGAAATTTTATCATATGGGATATTTATCTGTTAGAGAGGCTTAGAGTGGACTTCTATGAGCTGTTTTTGTTGTTTTAACTCAGTGTAACCAAAAGAGAATTTTTTAAAAATTCCTCTAAGCAATGTAGCAATAAAGAAATGTATTTATGTCTTCATGACAGGAACCATCTGGAGCTAAATGAAAAACCTGGTAACTTATCATCCTCAGGATGTTAAATATCCAAGTGATTGACTGAATTTTGGAAAAATTTTGGCTGGATTTTCATTGTCTTTTAAAAAGGGTTAGTGGGGCCTCCGAATTCCAGGTCTTGAGCATCTGTTGACAGAAAATACTGCCTGAAACCTCCACCTTAAATATTTACCTTTTTTGGTAATAGGTGTAGCTATTTTGAAATTGATTTATGTTCCACATAGATTTGTTAAAACCATATTGGAAAAGATCACATACTGTACTTCTCATTTACAAATTGTCATGGCCACGTATACATGTCTCTGCCATACAGCTAAAAATTGGAAAATGGAAATGTTTGGTTGTTTTCTTCTGAATGTCCTAATGCCCCAAGGTGAAAATTGGAGTTTTGTCCACACAGTCATTTTAAATAGGCTGAGAAAAAAACTCCAAAAAACTTCCAATAAATATAAAAAAATTTATATTTTTGTCTAAATTATAGACTTTTTAGTTTCTTACATATATAGTACAGCATGTTTTTACCTTATCACTAGCAAAACAGATTATTAACATACCGTTCAAACAAAACATCCTATTTTTTTGTTGATTCTAGGAAGGAACAATAGTTCTTCAGATCTATTTTCATGCAAATAAATTCAGACAGCATTATTTATTTCTATTTAGATAGAGTATAAAAACTCCTCCATAGTTGATTCTTTAATTATTTGTATTTACAATTTTTATATTGAGAACAGATGCCTCGAGTAATCGTTGTTGAGAATTGCATCTGTCATGTGAATTTCTAAATCTGATTAATCTTAAAGAATAGTTCAACTGATTTTGTAATGTACACATGTGTATACCCTAAGCCAATAATTTCCTTTTTGCAGTTTACTCACCTGAAAAAAACAAAACAAAACAGTAACCTAAGGCAAAAATCTTGGTTTGTCCATTCCCAACCTATGAAATTTCTTTCTTTAAAGAAGAAATGTGAAAATCAAGCCAGTGGTTTGAGAAACATCAAGTCTCATGAACCAAATGCAAATATTTGAAAGGGAAAATGAGCATTTTTAAAATTTACATCAGTACCTTTGTGGGTCTGGAGCATTTCATGCCAGATTTAGAGACCATTTAAATCCCTTTAAAAATAAATAAATTAAGTCCTTTTTAAAAATTGGGCCCAACGTATTCTGCGGTTAACAGTCATAAAATCTTGTGATTCAATTTATGTAGTTCCTAATGGCCATGTATGGTATAAGACTAATCCAGACTTGTTTTTCAAATTCAAAGCCAATTCAGCCACAAAACACTAGAAAAAGAGAGGTGATTTTCTGTGTGTTTATTTAAGATTTTTGTAATGTGTGGGCCATTCTTTAGGCCATTTTTTTTTTAAACTAGGAAAATCTCTTCTGTTCAGATTTTATGGTAAATATGTGCAAGCAAATGAAGATTACAGTTCTTTTTTATATGTGTGATTATTAAAATCCTAGTGGTTGGAGATATAAAGAGCATTTTTGACTGCTAATTTTAGATTTCCTCAGCCAGAGTCTTGCCCGCCATCTACATTTATCTGTTTGTTTGTTACATTTCAGGCCTGCGACAAGGACCCCCAGTGTGCTGGAGGCATGTGCTGTGCTGTTAGTATCTGGGTTAAGAGCATAAGGATTTGCACGCCTATGGGCAAAGTGGGAGACAGCTGCCATCCGCTGACTCGTAAAGTTAGTACATATATTCGTATTCACGGTGGTTCTCTTACGTTGTGGTAACTGAACTCCCAGCAAGGCCTGTAGGACATGAAACCCAGGGTGTTGTGCTTGAAATTGTAAGTTAGAGAAGATGGCAATGGAAAACTCCTTCCTCTCCCCTCCCATTTTAAAGAACTGGGTCCTCTACCATCGTTACTCTAGTGAATCGTTTTCATAACCTTGCTGTCATGACATTGGCAACTTTTCAAAAAAATAATTGCAAACACAGGAATTTGCCTAAAAGGGATTTAGGACAAAAATACATGTGTGTAGTACAGTGTATGCTTCTCTGCCGAAATCGGAGTACAGAAGTTCTTGAAAAGACTTTTCGCATCAGACTCACTGATAAGGCAGAAGTAAATAACTGTGTTTTGTTTCTTGCAGAAAATTATGCATGATACAGTTATCCTTGTATCTTAATTTAAAAGTCCTTTATTTTCACTCCATCTGTGCAGGACACTGTTCATAATCGTAGAGGTTAATGATACTTAATTTTCCAACTTCTTCTGTTATCTAACAGCTCAGTGTCTCGATGACCTAAACAACACTTTTGAACGGTTTTGGCAATGAGTGGCATGACCTGACATAGGCAGGATTGGATGGCGCTTTTGAGGTGGGTTGGCAGACACTCCTGTCCACGAGGCCAGTCAGCGACATCACTTCAGGAAGCGGGGTGGGTGAGAGGCAGAAGGGAGTAGAAAGGTATGTGGAGTTTGGAGAGTCTTGGCCGTTCTGAATCAAAACTTGAGACAGTGGGATCTCAGTAAGATGCCCCAGAGACGCCGGGTGGTGGTGTCTTGCTCCCCTAGCGCCACCTCCTGGTTTTACCCAGCAACAAAGAGGAGTCGGGAGCCACAGAAGGACCCGTCCCAGGGCAGGTGGCTTGTTGGAGGCAGAGCTGCGTGTGTCCTCAGCGTTCTCTCCTGTTTAAAATAGATGGAATGTTTGCAAAGTAGCCTGCCCTCCCGACTCTGCCTTCCACCTTTTTTTTTTCCGCACATGTGGTTTAGGTTGGACAGCTGCAGTAGAGCCCGCCATCTTCCCTGTCCTTGACAGCGGTGGATGACAGGTACTGTTTTGACTTTCTCAGAGTGAGGGTAATGAAATAAATGGGCTTCTGTTGAGCTCTGAGAGCTGTAATAGGAACCCCACTTGTTTGGGTTGCTCTGAAGACTGAGTTTGGCTTTCCTGTGGTTTCCTTGAGAAATACTTCCTGTTCCATGTGGACCGTCGCTTCCCGTGGCTTCACTGTCATTGTCACATGTGACATGCGCCTTTTATTTTTGGCCACTTTAAGGCAGGAAAGGTTGGGGGCGCCTGGGTGGCTCAGTGGGTTAAGCCGCTGCCTTCGGCTCAGGTCATGATCTCAGGGTCCTGGGATCGAGTCCCGCATCGGGCTCTCTGCTCAGCAGGGAGCCTGCTTCCCTCTCTCTCTCTCTCTCTCTGCCTGCCTCTCTGGCTACTTGTGATCTCTCTCTCTGTCAAATAAATAAATAAATAATCTTTAAAAAAAAAAAAGACAGGAAAGGTTGTAAACTGTTAGTGGTCTGTCTCAATGCCTGACTCCCGGAGAGGAGGTGACACCAGCCCAGCCACCTTGGGCACTGATGGCACTTTTGCCCTCACCCTTATCAAGTGCGAGTCAACTTTTGTACGTCGGAGCCACTGTCCTTGAAAAGTTTCCTCTCAGTCTTTTAAGAATGTTGTGGTTTTTGTGCAGTGTTGGTAGACCCTTCCACTCCCTGCATACCAGAACTGTGCAGCCTTTTTGCTAAAACAAGTGAATACTGACACATTCTATGCAACTGTTCTTTGCCATAGCAAAGCGTAGTTGTCCCTTGCGGAGGACTGTGATGTCCCAGACACCCTGCCCTAAATGTTGTATATGAGTTTCTCGTTTCACGCAACGAGCCCGCGAGGCACATTTGTTTCCTGCGCATTCTGCATTCAACCACGGTAAGCCTCAGAGGGACTCAGTGACAGGCTGAGGTCACCAGGTGAGAGGGCACACAGCAGCCTGGGACTTCATGTCTGGCTGGTGCTCCCCTGGTTGTGGGGTGTTAGTCCCCATACTCTCCCACCACCCTGAAAGTGGGTTTACCTGAACACTTTACCAAAGCTGGTTGGTGTGGGATGAGAAACGATGGTCCCTCGTGGGAATTTGTCACATCCTGTACTTCTGATGAGTTTTCCAAATCCGAGGTAGTTTAATAAGAGAACCAAATTCTCTTTCCCTTGGTGCCTGAATAACTTCCAGTTCAAGTATATGAAGTGCAAGGTCATTTCCGAGAGTAAACAATACCATTCTTCTCCCGGAAACCCAGGTACACCTCTACACCTTTGTTTTTAGTCACAGTTTTAATAACGAAGTCTTTAATAACAAGTTATGGTTTTCATAGTAGAATTAAGTGATAGAAGAACTAAAGGACTAAAAAAAGAGAAAGGTTTTAATGTCAGCTCTTAAATATTCCCCTATTCAGACACCAATTTGGAAAGTGTTTCTAGAACTCAGTTTTACACCTTGTCCTACTGGATACTTCTCTGTCTTAAAAATACATTTTCATATGTCATTTCTATTTTTAAAGTAGGTCCTGGAGTTGTTACTTGTTCTGGGTGAAATTAACTTACCCTGTTAAAAAATCTAGTTACTTCCAGATTATCTTTCCGCTATATTCTATTCAAAACAACCTGAGAAAAGAAATTTTTGTAAATGTGTCCTAGTGAGTGTAACATATAGTATTCAACTTCAAACTATAGTTTGATGGTTCATCAGTGAACAGTAAAAGTGTAGACACTGCATAGAAAATTCTATTTTAATATGATGTGTCCATTCCTTTCTTTTTTCTTTCTTAAGGGGGGACTGTGGTCACAGGGCTTGGTGTTTTAAAAACACAAGACTATGAATAAGTCAAGACTACACCTGTTTAAATTTTAAACTTTCCATTCTGGCTTGACTTAGTCATAGCCACAAATGTCTCTTTATTTTGATAAAGTGAGTAATATTTGATGAATGAAATTGCAGACTACAGGTAGGAACTGATAGTCACAGAGTTCAGTTTACTATTTTGTTTGAGATACATCCACTAATTTGTGGAGTTTACAGTGACTGCTAGGCTATACCTTTATAATTGTACAGTTTTTAAATTTACATTTGATAATTGAAAAGTAGAATAAAAGATCAGTTTACTTAAGAAGAACAGAATGTAGGTTTTCCAAACACATTTTTAGTCAAATAAAATTCTTAACATATATTCATTTTTAATACTTAGGGATGAATTACTGAATCATGTCTGCAAGGAATATTTTGCTATTTAAAAATCCCACTATATAATATTTCTATTAAAACTTTTCAGAGTTTACAAAGATTGGCTATTTCCATCCCATTCTGATTACTGCTTGGCTTTGGAAGTTTATAATTATGTAGTTAATACTTTTATTTTTATTGCTTATTAGTTTATAATTTTCTTCAATTTAAACAACTGTGTTTCCTCCCCCAAAATTGTTTTTGCTTCACTTTTTTTTTTTTTAAAGATTTTATTTATTTATTTGACAGAGATCACAAGTAGGCAGAAAGAGAAAGAGAGGGAAGGAGGCTGCTCTCTGCTGAGCAGAGAGCCCAATGCGGGACTCGATTCCAGGACCCTGAGATCATGACCTGAGCCGAAGGCAGTGGCTTAACTCACTGAGCCACCCAGGCGCCCTTTTGCTTCACTTTTTATGTTAACATTTTTAGTATCAGTTTAACTTTTTGTTTTCTGGAGTGTTTTTTTGGTTTTGTTTTTTTAGCTACACTTTAAGATTTGACCAATGTATTTTTCTTTTCTGGAAAAAAAAATTTGAAATTAAAGCCTGGGGTTTGTCTTTGTAAAAAACAAACAAACAAACAAAGGGGCGCCTGGGTGGCTCCGTGGATTAAAGCCTCTGCCTTCGGTTCAGGTCATGATCCTAGGATTCTGGGATCGAGCTGCATCAGGCTCTCTGCTCAGCGGGGAGCCTGCTTCCCCCTCTCTCTGCCCACCTCTCTGCCTACTTGTGAAACTCTTAAAAAAAAAATATATATATATATATATATATTTAAAAAATTATTAGCCGTTTCTGTTTTAGAACCAACCAATGATGAAACATTGTAAACATACTTCCAGGATAAAGTATAACCTTAAAAAATATTAATTAAAATATGACCAATATAACTACAGAATTTAGTGGAAGCTGGGTAGATGAAAGCCCAATATGTTAATTTCCTCATCTTTCCTACCATAAAGCTCAAGAGCCATTATCTGCATTTTCTCTCTCAGGGCAGCATCCCTGCTGTGAATACAAGTTCCTTGTCAGAGAGACTCAGGGGACATAAATACAGTTTCTCAGCCTGGGAACTTGACGGTATGGGCCTGACAGCTCTTGGTGGTAGGGACAAGCCTATGTATCAGAGAATGTTCAGCAGCATCCCTGGCCTCTACCACATGACGCCAGTAGTCTCCCTCTCTCAGTTGTGACAACCAGCCATGTCCCCAGACTATGACAGATGTCCCTGTGATGGTTTGGGGCATGGACCTTGCCCTAGCTGAGCACCCCTGGCCAAACACTACATTGACTTTGCCTCACAGGACACAGTGTAGGAGATGAAGCAGCATCATTGCATTGGGAGCTCAGCAGCTACTGAAACCCACAGCTTGGCTTGCCCTCTCTTCCACACAGGATACTTGTGCTGCCCCACTTGAGAGCTTAAGTGGGGGGAGGGGAGGCTCCCCTTGACTCACAGAAGCTACCACCCTTACTCTTGCAAATATTTTGCACCTCTCTAGACCCAGAGGCCCAGGCCTACAAGCCAACAGCTTCTCCAGTCCAACTTGAGTTCCGCACAACCCACGAGGCTGACCCCCTTATTCCCTGTTTTCCTTTACTCTTTCCGAGGACACAGAGCAGTGGGAGGCCAGATCCCATGGTAACCCTCTATGCACAAGAAGATAAATCATTGCATTATTTAGGGTTGTATGAATATATAATTATTCCAAAAACATTGGAAGAAACATTTTAAGAATTGACCAAATTAAAATATGTTGGCGACCCTCCCAGTTATCAAAGCTGGAAATTGTGAGAGAGGGACAGGAACTGTGAGACCTTTAGTTTGTATTTTATGTGCCATCATGCTATTTGAAATTTTTTAAAACTGTGTACTTATTGATAAAAGTTATGGTAACAAAACTGGCATTCCTTAAAATTGTCATTTTTTATTGAGGTAAAATTGTATATAAATTATATAAGTTTTAGGTGTACAACATTGTAATTTGACATCTGTCTGAAGTACAAAGTGATCACCATCCTTCACTATTCAATTGACCCCCCTTCACTCATTTTCCTACCCCAAACCTCCTTCCCACAAGAGACCAGCACTTTCCATGTGACATGACCAGCCTTCTCTATATTTCTTTCTTTAGCAAAGTTGACTCTGTTTTGAGAGAAATCACAAACAATACATGTGTTTTGGGTCAGTACTGTCTTCTCTTTACAAGTGCTGCAGATGGCTAGGAGTCATGCCTTGTGGAAAGCACTGCAGGTCCAACCTCGGTTTCTTTGAGAATCTGCTGTTTGGCATTCTGGGCTTGTGGAAATGCTGGAGTGAGTTGATTCTAAAATAAACCGTCAAGTTGGGACTGAACGGTTGGCTCCCGGGCTCTCTCTGTGCCTCTCCTGTGTCCTTTCTTGTGTCTCTGGCTATTAGACGCCTATCGACTTTGTCACACAACACGTGTAGAACTAGGGGATGCCTGTGTGGCTCCGTCGGTTAAATGTCTGCCTTGCTCAGGTCATGAGGGATCCAGCCCTGAGCCAGGCCCCCTGCTCAGCCGGGAGTCTGCTTCTCCTCCTGCTCCCAGCTGGTGTGTGCCTGTGTGCTCTCTCTCTCTCTGTCTCACTATCTCTGTTGCTATCTCTGTCTCTCTGTCTCTCTGTCTCTGTCTCTCTCTCTCTCTCAAATAAATAAATAAAATCTTCAAGAAGAAAAGTATGTGTAGAACTAGAAATGAAGGGGCCAGTGGAGAAATTGCCAAGTGTATCACATCAGAAATGGTGCCCTTTGTCAGTAGGGGCACGGTGAGAGAAGGAGAGGAGGAAAACTGCTATGAGCTGGCACAGATAAAAAGGGGGAGAGACACAGAGCAGATCTTGCAAAGGGGGAGTGGGCTTGTGAAGAATAAGAACAGGGCTGCAAGTTATAAAGATCCCTGCAGGACAGTGTGATCACGATGTCAAGGTTGTTGGGGCAGATCTGGGCTAAGGCCAATAGTACCTTGTCACCTTCAATAAGAAAAAGGAAAATCCGTGATATTTTTGAAAGATTCACAGAGACATATGACCTTGGGACCATGTTGCCAGGGTGCTCCCTAGGCCCTAGAACTATCCTGGAACTATCCCCGGGAAGGCCCTCTGCGTCTTTGGCTTCACGTGAGTCCCTCTCTCTGAGTTTGGTGGCGTGGGTCACTTTGGGCCTGCTCAGTGCCGGGCAGTGGCGTATGGAGTGAGGAGAAGCCACATTACCTGGGAAGGACACCCCTCTGCCTTAAGGCAGAGCACGTCTGGGGAGATGGGAGGGGTCACTGACAGGAGATAGGCTTTTAACAAGTATTCACTTAAGCGTCTCCTGTGTCCCAGGCTAAGTGCCGCGTGTTCACAAATGAGATGTCCTTTCTTCAAAGAGCCTGGAGTTGGGGGGGAATAGTGGTATTTGAGAAAAGAGCAAAATCTGGAAGAAAGTGGGGCTGGGTTTGATGATGACAGGTTCCCTTTCAGCTGAGTGACCTCAGTCAGCCGTGTCACTTCACCTCAAGAGGAAGCCACTTAGCTTGGGTCAAAAAAAGGCAAAAAGCTAGCGTACAAGATTGGTGTGACATTCATGCACGATGCCTCATGAAGCCTGGGTCTGGCTGGCCACCACTGTCATTTTTCTTTGCAACTGTTTTCAAGGGACTAGGAATGCACGTAACAGGCCAGAGAGCGCCCGTGGTTCCTTGGGGCCCACATCACTGGACGGCAGGCACCCCAAGGGGCTTAAACTATCCTCCTGGTCCTCTGTCTTCCATCACTACAATTCACGCCACGTGATGGGCCCAGGCCTTTCCTGTTTTGTTCTCACTGTCTCTGTAGCACGTGATGTAAGGCCTGGTAGGTCGGGGACAGTAAATGTCTGTGGAACGGGCAGATGAAGGAAAGCTGCTTGGCGCAGTCTGTGTGTAGCAGTTTGACGCGGTCATTATAGTTACACCTCGCTCAGGTCAGCCTCCTTTACCTTGGATGTTGCTGCCTCTGTTCATTTTTCTCCACATCAGCATCGTTGGCCCTTAGGGCCAGAGAGGTCTTCTTGTTGGGGTGGCCATCCTGTGCGTTGAAGGCTGTCTAGCAGCATCCCAGGCCTCCACCCACCACTCATGCTCCTTCCCCCAAGTTGTGACAAACAAAAGTATCTCTGGATACCACCTGATGTCCTCTGGTGGGCAGGGATGGAGTCACCCCCAGCTGCCCACAAAGTGGTCTTAGGTGTGTGACACAATGAAGCTCTCAGAGACTCACGGCTAGAGCAGATCCGAGAGGTCCAGGGTTGGAACTTCTCCTGCTGTCCCCTTGTAATCGCCCGAGCCAGTGCAGCTGGGCCCACCTCCTCCGACACGTTCTCAGGGCCCACAAATGAGCCAGCCATCCACGTGCCCCTGGAGCACACAGTGACAGAACCATTCTGAGCATGAGTCTGAGGGGCATCGAGGGCCGCGGCCCCTGCAGGCAGGCACTGTCACCAGAGCCTTGACAATAAGGCCCTTGTCAAAAGGCAGAGGAACCTGGGGCGGCTCTGCCACTTCTCCACGTGCATATCAACGCCCACTTGAGGCTTCCCTCTCTTTTTTTTTTTTTTTGTATTTATTGACCTCCGTCATTTCCCTGGTCCTTCCAGAACCATTTTGGAAATGGAAGGCAGGAAAGAAGAAGGAGGAAGAGAAGAAAAAGGAAAAAGGAGGTAAGGGGAACATGAGCACGGTGCCCGCCCAAAGATAGTGCCCAGTGTACTGAGCCCTGACCACTGTTTGGACTACCATACAGTTGAGTCTGTCCTCTTAGTTCAGCCCCAAAATAAGGTTAGAATGGTTCTGTCACCGTCTGCAGGCAATTTTTTTCTACGAACAAAGGAATTATTTCAAAGGCATCTGGAAGATGCGTCTCAGACTTTCTCATTAGGACAGATAATTGGTACGGGCTGACCTCTCTTGGTGGCATAGACTAGGAAATACACTAGAATGATAGAGAGCAGACAAAAAACAGCAGAGTTGAGAAACAGACAGGATGCATTTTTCTGCCCTGTATAAACCATAGAAGGATCCCTAAGGCATAAGTCTCTGATAGCTTGCCTCTCTCAACTTATCCTGGACCAGAGTAATTTCCTGTCCCGTTACATTTGACTAACTATTGCCTCCAGGCCTGGGGAAAATCTCTCCCTCTAACTTCCCAAGGAGGCAGAGTCTCAAGAGGACACCATCCCCAGAGCAGAGAATGAATTTTGTTCTTTGCCTCTGGAACATATATGTATTTTGAGGGACTCCACTGGCCCTGAGACAGAGAACCATGATGCTGGTTGCTGGTTGACCCCCCTCAACCCTGCTTCACTGGTGGCATAGGCAAGACTCAGAAGTACCACTTGGATCCCTCTTAGAATGAAGCCAGCCTTTCTCTGCTAGCTCTCCCTGGGCCGGGGTTTAGTTTGTTCCTTTTCTGTGACTCAGGCTTTTCTCCTTCCCTAGTTTCCCTTTTGCTCCTCCCCTACCCACACTGCTCAGAATTCTGACCCCTCCTGCCATCTGTGTGCAAATGTGTGAGTTTATACATTGTTTGTTTTCAGTGACTCCATATTTACTCATTATAATATAATTGTGGTCATACCCTTAATGTCATGCCCTCCTTAAGGAGCTTATTAATAGGATGCTATAAAGAGAATTAAAATGAAGAAGTAAAAGGTAGTATAGCTTGGTGGTTAAAAGGTTGGTCTCTCTGGTCCAGTTGCCATCCAAGTTTCAAGGTCTGCGTCTGTGAGCTTGGGCAGGTTGCTGATCTCATTGTGTCTCAGTCTCTCGCCTATAAAATGGGTATAATGAAAGCATTTGTCATCTTCACAGAATGGTTGTGGGATGAAAAAGGATAATAAAGTGCAGAGCATATCGCTTGATTAAGAGTTCCAGGTAACACTAGTTGTTCTTATTCAAACAGATTTCTCCAGAATCAGGTTTTTTGGTTTTGTTTTTTAACATTTCCTTCTCTGACTCAGTTTTCTTCTTCTGTCTTAGGTTCCATTTTTTGGGCGAAGAATGCATCACACGTGTCCATGTATGCCGGGCTTAGCCTGTTTACGGACTTCATTTAATCGATTTATTTGTTTAGCCCGAAAGTAATCACTTGAGAGTAGAAACTTTAAATGTGAACAGCCACACGATGTCTGTAAAGTCTATTTACTTGTGATTGTGCCAAACAAATAATATGCCAGAAAGAAATGCTGTTGCTTCCTCGGCTATCCAAGTAACATTTCTATCTTTGATGTTTAAATGACTTTTTTTTTTAATTGAAAGCGGATTTTAATTTTGGATATGAATGTAAAGTGCAGGGCATTATGGAACCAGTTCTCATTTTCCCGTCTGTGTTTTGATTTGGCTGGGCTCTTTTAATGCCAATAACTCACCTATTTTCACAGAAATGAGAAGAATAAGAATTTGATATTTTGTCACAGGAAATTTTTTTTCTTAAACCCTCTCCCACCAGCCCTGCCCATCACACACACACACACACACACACACACATGCACACACATACACATATACACACACTCTGGGGTCTCTTTTCTGTCTTCAAAGAATTTTAAGGCTCTCACTTTATTTTTCACCATTTCCCTCACCAGTCCTCTAGCCTTTGAAAGTGGGGAGCAGGGTTGTTCCACAGACTCTATTTGCTTGCAGAATCACTGTTGAGACTCGAGCTTTTTGCCTGATACTTAAACAGTGAAGGGTGTGTAGTTGAACTAGACACTCCAGACTTCTAGATGGAGTAGAGGTTGGACTGCTTCCAAACTTTCACGGAACCTGTCCATGCAACAAGACTTCAGGTCCACTGTGTGACAGGTGTGAGTGAGTCCAGAGGGAAGGGAAAGTCAAGTTAGTCCATATATCTAGATTTGGGTTGGTTTAAAAAAAAAAAAACTAAAAACTTTTACAACATGACATTACATTTATTTATCTTTCTCTTTATGAAGTTTTTTTTTTTTTGAAGTCTCACAGAGATGTTCCAGAAAATGCCACTTGAAGAGGAAGTATTGATTTTAATCTGGCATAACCCCCGTTACCATTTTAAAATCGGTATTAAGTTGTAATTTAAACTTCATTTGTAACCAGAAGATCTCTTATAATGGATTACCTGACATCCTGCCATGTGTACCTATATCAATATTGCTGTGTAAAAATTCTGTATCAGAATAATGACAGTATTGTATAACATTTGATTTATTTTAATATTATATCCTTATTTTTGTCACTGTTGTCGTCAGTTTTTATTAAAAGCAGCTTTCTCTTAGCTCACATTCTAAAATGGGCAAAGACCCCCAATGCTGGGCAGATGGCACTCACAAGACCTGCTTGTCACTCACTTTACATACAGGAAAGTTCTGTTTGCATGAATCTTAAGGTCGTACAAAAAACAATGTGTAAATCAGTGAGGTTTGGGAACATGAAGGAAGATTGTGACGTGCTAAACTGGCTGTAATCAGGAATGGACTCCTATGATGTCACTGTTGATTCAGCAAATCATGACCCAGTGTTTATCACAAGCCGTTAGGCAGGAGGCTAGGTGCTAGCCGAACAGTGATGAAGAACCTTGAAAAACCCCACCAAGTATTGTAAATGGAATCAATGTCGCAAATAAACAACTTATGAAATGTGTTTAACTGACTAAACTTGACCATGCCAACCGGCTGTTGCAAAAAAAAAAAAAAAAAAAAAAAAAGGAAAAATTTGTCCATTTGTAGTTACTGATTCAGCCAAGGCTGACAGTTGCACGTTGTGTGTAACTTTACCCTTGGGGCTAATGTGTCCTGTAAATGTATGGGATTTTGCTGTACTCATTACCATACCTGGGCATAGAAGTATTATTTTTGGTTCAGTTTCCTATGTGTGCAAGAAGCATTCCTCAGTGAGTCTGTTGGAAAAAACACCGACTTCAGCAAGTGGAATTACAGATAAAGAAACGTACTGCAGCCGTTGGGCTAAATGTCGCCTTCATATAATGGTTGAGACACCCTTTTCCATAAATTGTAAACACTTGATTGGATCAATCATCCATTTTCCCCCAAGTTAAAAAAAAAAAATCTAACAAACTCATAAAATTTTAGTTTTACATATACCAATTCAATTTAAAAAAATCACTACAAAGAGGTAGACCATAGGACACAGCCAGGACAAGGAATGTAAAGTGTGTGTGGGAAACAGAACCATGTCTCCTGACTTGCTCGCCGCCATTCAAAGAAAAACAGAACTTCATCATTTGGTATCTCTGCTCTGGGTTATTATTTTTATTGGGGAATAACTCCTACAACTTTATTTGGTTAGTACTCTTTTTAGCTTGTCACCGAAGTTAGCACTTTTCAAATAATTATTTCAAAAATCTTATAGTCATGTTCCATAGAGATTTTTTAAGATAAATGCATGCAAAGCACACAAAGTCTTGCACTATAAAGACTGTGGTACTGTTTCTTCCCATCCCCAGGATGCTTTCTCACTGAAGTTGGCCAGATCTCATAGGCCAGAATGTCTGCAAGGAAAGGCAAAGTGAGAATTTACATAAGAAGTTGTTAAAGTCAGCAGTCTACTTTGATGTAAATATTGTGAATGGATTCTATCCATTCTAAGATAGAAATAGATCTTCTGCCAGCACCAGCCAAACTCAGGTGGACCTTTAGATTCCTTTACAAACATTGACTTTCATGAAAACTGTCATTTCTGACTTCAACCTCTTTTTTTTTCTTTAAGCATCACTTTTTTTTTTTTTTTTTAACCATGGAAGAGTTTGTGCCACAACTATTTCCTTACAGACCTTCTTATCTAACTGAAGACCTTCATCCTTCCCAGCGTGTTTCAGTGTTGTTCTGTGGTCGGAGCTCTACAAAGTCAGTCCAGGGAGAGATCACACATGTAAGCCAATTTTCTTCTTCATTGGTTTTAATATCAGAAATTTCATCCCACTCAGAATTTCCTAACCTCAGTTTTTGAGAGGATTAAATTTGAGGACCATTTTGATTTGAAAAATGGGATTTTTTTTTTTTTTTGTAGCTACTTATTTGATTCTCAGGTGCACCCATGATTGAGAGCCACTGAGAAAGAATAAAGAAATATGCTTCTATAGGAAAGCTACTGCTCCCCTGGGACACCCTTTGGCAAGACAACTTTCTAGTCAGATTAGAAGTAGCTAATTGTCTTGCCTTTTCTTGCCACCCTCAGAAGTTCCCATGATCCTTAAGCATAAATGAATCTATTTGTCTGAGGGAATTCCCCCCCCACCACGACTTCTGGAAGGATAATCACAGAAGGGTCCCGTGTGAGAGATTTAGCTGCAGTGTCATAGCTCATTTGAGGAGTCTATTCAAAGTTTCTTGGAATTAGATGAGGGAAGCAGGCCGGATGCAGCCTAGCTGGTCCCTGGGCTCTGGCACTAGCCCTGAGGCAGGGCACGGAGCCATGGATCTCTTCCTCCAGGCAAACCCTCCCAGGTGACAGTTTTCCCAGCTGGCCCCTCTGCCAGCCCCACTTTCCAATATCTCTCCAGATTTCATCCCATCTTACAGGGCCCATAAATCATCCCAGTGCTCGAGAAAGTCCAATGTTGCAGCAAATTGTAAATGAGTAACTCCCACTAGTAAGCATTTAAATAAAACTTATATATGCCACAAGAGAGTAAAAGCCAGAAAGTGGAAAATCATGATGTGAACCTGATTTCTGATGATAAAAGCACAGTCTCATCTATATCACGTGCATACATGTGTCCACGGCGTTCTTCATCCCTATGAAGGAGCCCTGGGGCCCCTACTCATGAATTGTGCTGGCCAGGCAAGACCATGGCCTGCCCCCCGGGAACGGCAGCTGGAAGGGATGTTTCCAGGCATCCACTCACTTTAGTGGAGATTTCTGGACACCGACACTACAGACATTCTGGGCCAGGCCATTTTTTGTTCTGAGGGACAATCCTGTGTTTTATAGGCTGTTGGGCAGCACGCTTGTCCCCCACCCACCAGATGCCAGTAGTTCCCCTGAGCTGTCACACCCCAAAATGTCTCTAGACTTTACCAAGTGAATGCGTAGGGGTAGATAGTCCCCCTGCGAGAGATACTGTTTTAGTCTGAAGATATTTTCCATCTGCTCGTATAAATATTTTTTTAAAAGATTTTTTTTTATTTGACAGAGACACAGCAAGAGAGGGAACACAAGCTCACGAAGTGGGAGAGGGAAACCAGGCCTCCCAGTGAACAGGGAGCCCAATGCAGGTCTCGATCCCAGGACCTTGGGATCATGACCTGATGAGCCCAAGGCAGCTGCCTAACAACTGAGTCATCCAGGGGCCCCTAAATTTTGTTTCAGTATCAAACAAAATTTGAGATGACAGTATTAAAAGATAAGTTAAACCTCCAAGTGGGGCTCTACAAAATAGGTCTGCTGAAAATAAAGTATCATTTGTATTCAAAATCATGAAAAGGTAAACATTGGATACATTTTAATAGCCAACCAAAGAACTCTCAGTTGTACATCAGCTCTGTACAGTTTACTGTTGCAAGGAAGCCATTTTTTTATAAGCCACTCTTTAAAGCTTAAGGCAAAGGGCTCACATAAAATAACCTCAGTCACAGATGAGAGATATCATAGCTTTATAGTGCACTTCTGAGCAAATTTCCACGTTGTCTAAATCCAGATTTTCACTGTCTTGAGTAAAATATGATATAATTTGTGAAAAACGTTTCTGTTGCAGAAACTCAAAAGCTTTACAAGAAGTTGGAGAAGACTGTGTTTTTGTATTGTTAGATCTGAATAGCTATTGGTAAGCTTCCCAAACTGAGTTTTCTCAGTGTGACGGGGAATGGACCTGTTCCCTATAGGCGGGGCTGAGGCTGGCTTGAGTGTATGTGGCTCATCCAGGCAAAACAAAACCTTTTTTTTTTTTAAGATTTTATTTATTTGACAGAGAGACAGCGAGAGAGGGATCACAAGCAGGGGGAGGGGGTGAGGGAGAAGCAGGCTTCCCGCAGAGCAGGGAGCCTGATAAGATTCAGGGCTCCATCCCAGGACCCTGGGGTCATGACCCAAGCCGAAGGCAGATGCTTTATGCTTACCACTTAATGACTGAGACACCCAGGTACCCCCAA